TCGCTTCGCAAAATTCAATTGAGGTATCTAAATCGTTTAATTTATAGAAGACACGAACATCATTACATAGCCCTAAAACCAAACTATATCCTTCGATGTAATATGCAGGCTAGAAGAGAATGTAATCAAAACTGGCCTGTTGCGCGAGCAATTTCTTTGCATCTGTGTTCTTCCTCCGAACCACTTCCGAAACTGTTAGCGTTAAACTTTGAAGCTCGTTCATCACCATGAAGTTGAAAAACCTGTAAGTTGAAAACAAACGAGGCTTAAAACGTCAAAAGCTACTAAAAGCAAAAAGTGCAGTACCTGTGTGACAATCTGTGAACGCACAGCAGGAGGTTTATTCCAAGCACCTCCAAGAATTTTTTCTGAGTCAGGAGTCTGACTGTCAGGAAGTTCAGGGAAATCAGTACTGTAGTTGAGGACAAGTTCATTGTTATTTGTATGATTTATTCCACTTGGGCCTACAGGATTGCCATTTTGAGCTAAGGATGCTTGATGGCGTTCCGCACCAGGTGCCAAATTTAAGCCTCCTTCAAAAATGGAATTCAACGCGAATCATGAGAGAAAATGCTTGACAAAAACCTTTTTAAATCTCTCCACTAAAATGCTTTGAAAGAAATTTATGGTTCTAAATTACAAATGAAATTTTTTTTTGAGTAAATGGTTTTATACCGCAGTAGTGTAGTCTTAAACAAGTGAAGCCTTTATATTAGATGTCACCTGCCTTTTTTTGACATAACAAATCTTTTAACCACTTCACGCATTAAAGTAATGTATTAATTAAACCTTCAGATGGTAAATCTGTTGGAGCTGAAGAATTTTCAGATTTAAAATTCATTCCATTTTCCATATTGACCCGAATATCTCTTGTTCTAGATCGTTATACAGTTGACAGGCTAGCGCGTTTCCGTGGGGCTAGGGCAATTCGAATTATCAGGGCTGAAAACAGCCAAAAACGATAAAGCGTACAAAACGATACTTATTCCAGTCAGTCACGTGATGTTCAACGATTAGAAGGAATGCTTGATTTAGGAGTGGAGTAAAACAATGCATATCAAGTGTACTACGACTATCAATAATAAACAGGCACTCACAATCAGATGTCCAGGATTTTGAAGTCGATTTGTTGTTGAAGCAATTTGGCGATATAACTATATACGCCAAGCTTCGTTAACCT